CTTAGTGTCATTGCTTCCAACAAGGATTTTTGAGTTGCAATATTGCTGAGAGTGAGGGTGACGCGGCTTTTGATGCATTTTTATTGAAAATGGTAATCTGTGTTTAATAGTAATGATTTAAGTTTATAACATCAATCTCGAGCTTAATGTCACGTGCTTAGAGTTTCAGCACCGCTCTAGCTACTCCCGTGTGGCACCAAGATGTTGCTTCTACTCTCGCAAGTACTTGGTCAGCCTAACTCCCGTGCACACCTTAGCCAACACACTCCCCTCATACGCTTACTAGTGTTGTAGTGGCCCTCGCCCTCTCCTCACTTGGCTTGCACACTCACACACACTAAGGCAATTAAGTTGGCAAGAAAAGAACACTTCTATTACTTCAAAGAATGCTTTGTATAAGGCTAGCACTCAAACTCTCTACAAGGCTCTCAAGACTCACTCTAGGACTTGTTGGCTACAAAATGAAGTCCTACTCCTATTTATAGGTATCCCCATCCCTAATGGATGGCTAGGATGCATTCTAACCAATGGTGGAGATCGATTCTCTAGATACTTCTCCCACCTTCTTCACACTTCCATACTTATCTACTAGTATCTACAACATTCTAGAACTTTTCATACTACTCCATACAATTCTGGATAACTCTAGAATATACTACACATATCTAGAATCTTCCACACAACTCTAGACAACTTCGAAAGACTCTAGAAACTCCACTCGCCATGCAGTTGCTATGCAGCTTCCTCCTCAGCGTCTATGTGTCGCCTGCGTGGCACAACCTCCATAGACGGGGCTTGACATTAAGCTTACATTATATCTTGAAGAGCCATCTTAGACCCCTCACCATCATCCTGCTTGAATGCAGAAATGCTCAAAAGCTTCGTTAAGGTCTGGTAATGTAGACAATGGACCTGAAATCTTTTTCTTTGGCTAATGACAGACAATATACCTGAATTGATAAAAAAAAAAATGGCAAGACTGAAGGTCCCAAGGAATCCATATTTGCCTTTGGTGCTTATTATTAATTTCCCAATTCACATCCTGAAAAAAAAGAAGGCTTAGAATCGATGGTCTCGTGCTCTGTTTATTCGTAGGAGGTCTTGTAGCTCATACTTTGCCATTTTCTTGTCTTGATCTCTGCGGATCAGGAAATATTGCAGCACCATTCGTTCAAAAGAGAAAATTGCTTAGCAACATGGAATGGTTCTTTTCAGTGTGCCAATTATGGTGTAGGATCTCAGTGCTTACAAACAGGGCAGGGAGTTTCTGTGAACTCTTTTGCAGGTGTTTTTCCACATCCACTGATACAGTTCCAACACTACAACCCACACCACAAAGGTAAAAATTCTTGATAGAGGTCCCAATTCTGAATTTCTTGATTACCAGAAAGGTTGGACAATGTGATGAAAAATACATATATATATATATATATATATATATATATATATATATATATATATCTTGAGGTTTAATGTTTTTTTAAATCTATGATCACTGAGAAGATTAATGTTGCAGCCTCTCCAATCTTGAATTAGTGATAAGAGACTGAATGCAGGGCACCGAATATCCTTCCGACACTCGTTTGAATGAATAGAATGGTGAATGAAAAGTCATTTTCTCAGTTGCCTGCTTTTGTGGTGTTATGATATCATTGTATACCTAGTTGAACATATGTATACCATTACCACTCTGTTTTTCAACCTTTATGGACATTGGTACTTATCGGAATCAACATTAAAGCCTCGTAATCGGACGTAACATTGATGAAGCACCTGTTGGAGAGAAGGCCCAGTTAGACCTGCAAGCACCGGGCAGTATTCAGGGGCAATTTTCAATCGTACAATGTATATATTCTGAAATTCTGGCCCTTAAGGGATATTTGGATGATCTTTTGTGCATTTTTGTTTGCAATCACTCTGGCAGTACTTGCAAATACTAAATGCATTGGTTTCAATTTTTAGTTACAGGATGACTTGTTACTTTAAGACTATAATTTAAACTTTTTGTTCAGAATATAATGCTTATATTAGCTAAATACTAAGCTTTAGCTTTGGCTATGCTGACCGGAAACTGCTGTGAATATCTATTATTAAGCATTACTAACTGCTATTTAATGGGATTTGTTTGGGCTATTAGATATAGCCTTCAGTCTTCTTTATTATGCTTTTTCGTCATGTAGAGATCATATAAGGAAAGAAAGGATAATACTTTAACAAATTTTCATCCGCTCCCAAATATGTATATGAAGGAAAGGATACTTTAACAAATTTTCATCCGCCCCCAAATATGTATATGAAAGAAAGGATAATACTTTAACAAATTTTTATCCGCCCAAATATGAGTGGAAGACAAAGAGAGAAACAAGTGAGTCTATTATAAAAGTTTTAAATTATTACATCACCCTTCATAAATATTTAATAAATCTCCATTCTTTTCCATCTAGCCTAACAAAAAAAGAAAAACGTTTAATCTCTTCCCTAGGATGTCTAAGTCATCATTTCTTCTCTCCTTTCTATTCAATTTTTTTTCCTTCCTACCGCACGGAGCATAAATCTTGGTAGAGCCAAATTATTGTTTGGGCCTAATTTGATCGTTTGGCCCATTATGTAAATCCTACTTCGTAATTGTATATATAAAATTGTTTAACCTTTTTGAAAAAAAAAAAAAAAAAAAAATTGGTCCAATATTGTACTACAAGCAACTTGATGATCAGAATTAGAATACAAAAACTATCAAGCCGATGTATTCTTATAAAGCTTAAAAAATAATAATAATAATAAACTTTTACTAATATATAAGAGCACGCTCATTAGATTTATAAACACTTGCCAATTTAATAACTTGGGAGTTAATTTTTTTTTTTTGGAAAGTTTTTAACCATTATTTGATTTTGATGCGTATTCAATTTAAAGTTGCTATTTAATAACTTTGGGAGGTAGATTATGATTTTTATAAAAAAAATTGTGGCTTCTTAATTCGTTGATGAATAATATAATGGCTCAAAGAATGGGGAGACAGGAGACTCAAGTCAAATGTGGAGTATGCACAAGGTCAAAAGCATGAGCCTTGTAAAAAGTTCACGATTAACACAAACTCTAAGAAAATTTTATTGGTGATAATGTCTCTCGTTTGATTTTTAATTTTTAATTTTTAATTTTTTGTTTAAAGTGTGATTAGAATATGTGTATAACTTAAATAGGGATTTTTTAATTTAGAATAGATAATTTGATTTTAATAATCTACCAAGTTGGAGATATGCCATGTAGACTATATACACCAACACTTACGTAAGATTTAGAGAATTTAAAAACATTTTGAGCACTTGTAAAGGATGTTAGGAGAATTCTAGAACGTGATAGAGTGGTAGAGATTGTAAAATAACTAGGGTATTTAGATGGATTATTCTAAAGAGTTAGTTTTAACTAATAAATATCCCAGATATATATATATATATAGAATCTTAACCATTCATTCAGATTTAATCATTGTGATTGCTTATAAATAGATGAAAATTGAGGTTTTGAAATTATGAGTTTGGTGAAAAGTAGAGGGGTGACAATGTTAAAGAAAGTGAGGAGAAGGAGAACAGAGCTAGATTTAAAATTGTAAAAATGGTTATCGAATTGATTGTGGGATTGATGGTGGGGATGGGGGGAAGGTTTGTAAAATTAATTTTGAGAATCCTTATGCAGTTTAATCTGATGGGTTTGAGCCCCCAGAAAGAAAAAATAAATAAATTGTCTCACCCCAATTTTCAGAATCCATAGTACATAAAATTGTTTCAGAGTTTATAATAATTATTCTAAAGTCTAATATATATTAATAAATTATTACTATTTAATTATTTTTAAGTTAACCATCTAAATTTAATAAAATTTGCTGAAAAAATCTAAAAAATATACAAATAATTTACCTAAAACTTACAAGATTCTAAAAATAATTATCATCGTACTTTATATCCACAAGCATTTTTCAATAAAAAATATTCACATATTTTAATAAAAAAAAAATATTTCATAGTAAAATTAAGGATTAGTGTATAGTTGTTATTCCATAGAATAGCAAATGTTTCTATTGTGAAAAAAAATGTAATTATCATTTATTATTATTATTTTGTTCAAAGTTCAAGGAACACACTCGTAATATTACCTCAGAGGATCCAACACTTAACCTCACCGTTTAGGGGAATTGGAATATCTATATATGTTATTATAACCTTTCGGGGGGAAAAAAAATATATATAATGTTTAGGCTCCGTTTGTTTTGTTTAGACCTAAAATATTTTTTTAAAAAAAGATTTTTCTTTTTTTAAGTAATTTTTTTTTTTTTTTATTTGTACTTTTTTGGTGTTTGGTAAAGGTCAAGGTTGAAGTTAAAATTAAGTTAATTGGACAGAATATGTAAAATAACTTGTCAAAAATTAATGGCCCAAATTATTTTAGTAAAATTTTAATATATTTTTTTTTCTTAAATATTTTATTAAAACCAAACATCAAAAAATAAAAAATATATATTTTTTGAAAAATATTTTATATCCAAACAAACAACAACCGAACCCTTATATATCTGTTATTTTCTTTCTCAGTTTTGATACCGCAATCTCATTGGTAAAATACTAAAATAAAAATTCATATTCTACGGATTTGATGGGAAATTCTAGCTATATGAGAGATTTAGCGTCTTCACTAAATTGTGGTAGACTCTCTTCAGTCTTCACATCCCTTTGGCTTCCACATAACTATGTAAGGTATGTATTTCCAAATCTAGCTCTGTGTCACGGACCTGGATCTTTCCAAGCTCACGTGCCATGGTTGCCTGCGTGACATTTGGCTATCTTTATCCATTGTTTATTGTCCCAAACAAGCTAGGTGTAGCAGGGTTGATCATGGAAGCAACTTCTGGATGTAATAAAACTAAAACTTCTACAATAATCAAAAGCTTGATATGTGCAGGTGTGCACTCATTAACGGACAAGGAGAGGGGGAGAGGAAAAACGTGGTGATGAAACCTCTTTTGTATAAATAAGCTAAAAACTTGACATTTTCAGAAACCAGTTCACAAGAAGACTACATGAAAATAAATGTAACAATGGTTAAAAAAAGAAAAAAAAGAAAAAAAAATGAGAGAATCAAACCAAACCCATTAAGTTTCCCAACATAGACATCTTCCCAGCTTCTCTTCCGTAACAAGAACATTTGCAAGCCTTAAATACATAGATTAACATGTGGCATACAACATTTCCGCAGTAGGGTTACCCGAAAATCACCAAAATTACACCATTAAACCCTTCCCTTCTTTAACTGTGTTTCCTTCCTTCATCACATAATTGGAGCATTCAGTTTTGAACTGAATTACAAGAATGATATAGAACAACCAACAGCAGTCGAAGTTGGATACAAAGAACCGTTATTCCCACGGAGAATCCGGAAATCTAAAGGATTCTCTCCTTCCTCATGATGACTCTCCTAACCATACAACAGCTGTTTCCTTAGAAAGACCAAATCTACATGTCCTGGGGCTGGGCATTCAATGCAATCACCCATTTGTACCATCAAAGCTACCCATTGCATTTGCCCGTTTTTTCTCTCTCCAATTCTCACCCCACACTTTTGCCTCAGCAACTGCACGTGCACGTTCTCTATCAAGATCTCGATTCCTGGGAGTGTCTCTTGCTCTTCCTGTACTTAGAGGGCTGTCTCTCTGAGATTCCTGTCGCTCTAAATCATCCACGCCCCATTTCCTCCCCGACCCGCCGCCACTTTCATTCCTGCCCAACTCAGCACCAGTGCTCAGTTCCCTGTCTTTCTTTCTGAAATCAGGAGAGTTCTTGTGGGTAGAAGGGGAACCATGTCCACGCCGAGGCTCATCTGGGCTATCCAGCCCGTCTGCCATGTTCCTTCTATCATCCTTGCTCCTAGGAGTAGATGGACCTACTCTATTACTTTGAGCACTGGTTGCATTTGGGTCATAAGTTTGGGAGGCTAAATATGTCAGAGCAGTCACAACATCGGCTATTAGAGGCCTTGTGGCAGCTTGTTCTTGCAAACACATGGCCGCAACAGCAAGTGCCTGGTAAAGCCCCCGCATTGGATAACGGCCATGCAACAGCGGATCAGCCATTTTAGGAAACTTCCTGCGGTCCTTGAAAAGTGGTCTTGCCTGCAAACCCATGTCCCACAATATAAAAGAAACAAGCCTTGTTTTATGTAGACTCAACAACACTGTAAATTAAACCACCATGGCATCATGCAATAAAGCAAGAACTACTAAAGAAACCGTCTACATCAGAAATAAAAACCAGTTCAAACACAAAGAGAAGACCTACTTACCCATGCAACAAGATTATGCTCTCCAGGAGCCCGAGTGTTGTCAATAGCCTTGCGTCCTGTAATGATCTCAAGAAAGACAACTCCAAAACTATAGACATCCGACTTCAGAGTGAGTTGGCCAGTCATGGCATATTCAGGAGCACAGTAACCATATGTCCCCATCACCCGTGTGGAGACATGAGTTTTATCACCAACGGGGCCCAGTTTTGCAAGCCCAAAATCTGATAACTTAGGGTGATAGCCATCGTCAAGAAGGATGTTGGATGATTTTAAGTCTCTGTATATGACAGGAGGGTTTGCTTTGTCATGCAAATATTCCAATCCCTTAGCTGCACCTGCTGCAATCTTCATCCTTGTATTCCAGTCCAGAGGTTCCTTATCTGCCAGAAGATCTGAAAACAAGAACCAAATAGGGAAATCAGGTAGGTGTAACAAAGCGCACATTTAGGGCCTGTTTGGTAAAGCTTTTTTGCTGTGATATCATTTTTGTGAAAAACAAAAATAGTGATATGTTGTGTTGTCATTTCTCTTCGAAGCAAAACACGTTTGGTAAACTACATCTGTGGTTGAATTTTGAAAGAAGGAAAACATAAAACACGTTTGGTAACCAGAGAGAGAGAGAGAGAGAGAGAGAGAGAGATTGACTAAAATTAAAAAGTTGTAAAAAAAAAAAAAAAATCAGAAGAAGAAATCCTTGAAATCAAATACTGGGTATTTCTCTAGAGAACCCATATGAATCCTCCAAATCCTAACGAAGCAATTTGTGATGGAAAGCTCCGCATGATCATTGGCAGTAGTGATGAAATCATGACGAAGGAGAAAGGTATTTCTTCAACCCAAACAAGAGAACACAAGTGTGTTGAGACTTGGTGCTCTTTGCCATCACAGATCAGTTAGAGAGAGAGACAGAGACAGAGGCAGAGAATGGAAGAGATGACTGGTAGAGAGACTTAAATCAGTGGTTGTAATGAGAAAAAGAGAGAGATTGCTTTTAAGCCATCGTGGTGTTGCAGAGCTGCAATTCTGAATCTTAAATGCTTTTGACACACAAAAAAACACAGATTCAAGAAAAAAGAAAAGAGAACCCTCATTCAAAGCCCAATTTCTACATTGATCTTACCCATCTCATCCCAAAAGGGAAAGCAGAAAAACAAATCAAACCCATGTAAACTCAGAAAAATTAAAGAATACCCATTTCATCTAGTTCCAATTCGGCCAGTTTTGTGCTTAATTGATTCTGCTATTTTATCAGTCACAATTGACGTTTGGGACTGGCTTAAAGGGGAAAAATTGGCTGACCCACTAGGTGGAGTAAGAGGAACAAACAACAACCAAGACCAAAGAGAAATCAGTCCTGAGAACTTGTTCTTGTACAGAAATGATCAAGATGTAGTAGTATCTCACAAGGGTTCAATGAACAAGATGTAGTAGCATCTCACGGGTTCCGAGCTATTACCACACTTACAAGATCTTTAGTCATCTGCTGGAACCCAAGGTGTAGTACCAAACACAAAGATCAAAATCGCCTACGAGTTGTTGAGATCGGCATTTGTGCAGACCAAACACAATGATCAAGTTGGTTGTCGCTATAGTTCATTCTTTATCAGCGAAGAAACTATGATGATGGTTGGGATTGTTGAGATAGAAGATATATAGATAAGAGAGAGAAACAGGAAGAAGACAATATAAAAGACACAGATCCCTTAAGTTTTAAGTGGCACCATAGCCTTTGATAACCGCAACAAATTTTGGCAGCATCGTTTTGATGCTGCAAAAAATCTAAAGAAAGCCACAGCATCTTGTTGGTTTTTTTTTTTTTTTTCAAATCTCATTTTTTGAAAATGGCAGCAGAAAACTACAAACGGCAGCGTTACCAAACAGGGCTTTAACGAAATAAAAAAGAAGTTGAACTTGTTATTGAGATGTGGATATTAGGGGAAGGGCTTGTGTACGGGTCATTACAGGTTAAAAGAGTTTCCTAGAGGGAGGGACACAGAAATTTTTTCATAGGATATTTAAATATTGTTAATTATATATCTCCACTAATTTCTCACGAATTTGGGGGGCTTACAGAGAAAGAGAAAAAATAAAAATAAAAATAAAAATTTCAATGATTAAAAGGGTTTTAGGACCATCAATTAAGCAGAATTAACCATGCCAGCACTATTAATTCCAATCCAAAAGTAATGACAAATCCTCCAATCTATCAGAAAAATATTGAACAAAAGAAAATACTTAGTGAAGCATTGAAAAGACTAGCAGAGTTAACAACAAAATTAAGTCAAATTCAGAAGCTCTCATTCACTAGCATTGTGAACATGTTCATTGGCGACAACATCCTACAATAGCATAATTTTCATTAAGAATTTACAATGTAATTTTCATTCATGGTTTTATCCACTTTTTCCTTCTATATATCCTTATCTTTCACCCTATTGAGGGATTGAGTGGAGTATGTGAAGGATGGTGCTGCATGTGTTTTTATGTTGGAAGGCATCATACCTGAGGTGGAGAGGAGAAGCAAGAGAATACTTAATGAGATAGAGCCCCACGATATCAGTTGAATTGTTGTCTTTTTGTTTTTGTTTTTGTTTTGTTTGCCTTGGTTTGATCTATCTTTATTTTGTGTGTGTACATGGACCGCATGTATATGTCAGTCACTTCATGTATATGGCAGTCACTTCAGGTATAATAACCTCTAGTGCTAGATATGTCTGTGATCATGAACTTTCTCTCATGATAGCAATTTCAGTATCAGCAAACCTTTTTTCCCATTTTAGAGAGAGAGAGAGAGAGAGAGAGAGAGAGGAACCCGCATAGGAATAAAAGCAATCTGCTAAACATCCATCAATTAGACCACAGAGCTTCCAAAGTTTTCCGTGGATTAAGGAACAAGTAGCGCAATATCATTCTTCAGATAGGAAAAAGTGAGTTTATATGGTTTTACATGACATGATATTAAGATGGGGCAATTTATATCTACTTTTTACCATTAGAGTACTTTTCCAAATGCTTACTCGTGAGGTATAGAGTGCCTGGCTGTATAGATTCTTCCAAGGGCTACATCCTAGCATTCCAATTTTAAAGCCCAAAAGTAGCAAAGCTAAGAGTTTGAGGATTTCCTCACAATATAACCCACAAAGCCTTCTTTTTAGTAATCAACAAGCAAGCTTTGCCAGCAAGCAGTGACATTTCATTTTAACGGTCAACGGGTACTAATAACCTTGTTCAGGAGAGGTATCATTGACACAGTTGTGAAGATTTTGTCAGCATTTTTGAACCTCCAGAAAAGTTTCATACATAGAAAGAGAGATAGTTATTATGTAACTTAAAACGAGAATACTTGAACCCCATTCAATAATAGTGTTAAATATCAGAGCAACCAATACTACACTTAATTTCTAACAATTATATGAAGTTCATTGTATGAAAAGAACTTCTGAATTTCTAGCAGTAAATTTTTATTATTTTTATTTTTTGTCTTGGCCCAAGATGTCATTCCTTAAGAAAAAACATTAATAGCAACCTTGGAATTCCAGAAATATATGTGTATGCACAAGAAGCTTGTTATTAAAGCAGCACGTGTCACATAAGGCTTACTAGCAATTTCTTGTCCAAAAAAGATATTTCAATTCATGCTTAAGATTAAATGTCCCATGGAACAAGAGGAAATTTCCAGTTACAAATATAAATTGTTGTTCAAGTCAGAAAATCACATGGAAGTGGGATACTCCAATGTTTGAGGGTCAAGAGTTTCATAAAATGTCACTGGTAGGAAAAAGAAAAGAAGGAATGAAACATCCCAATAAATTATATCGGGTCCACAAATCTGACAACTAGTTTTTTTCTTATAATTTGTTATACTAACTTGTTAATAGTGACAGGTTTGTGCACTAAGTATCAGAATGGTCCAATTTGAATATTAGAACATGTGATAGCTATAATACAACCTAGTATCTGCATGGTATCTCATTTGAAAGAGAGTTATATATGGAATAAAGAAGCAAATAAGTGCATTTCTCTATTTCTTTGCAAAAACACTAGTTAGAAACTAACCAATAGTAAGCATGTTAAACCTATCACAAGTTAGGAACTAACCAATAGTAAGCGTGTTAAACCTATATTTCATAACTATACACATGCTGTTCTTTGTCGATTTGTCCAACAGAGGTATTCGGGACACTCTAAAAGTCCAAATAACACAGCTCTACTGCTATCAAACTCCTTTAAAAAAAAGTAACATAAATTGTACAAGAAACTTGGGTCGGGAAGTTTTCCCTAATAAGTTACATTAACTTGCATTAAAAAGCTAACCTTTATCATGGCCATAAAATAAAAATGTTTGAAAATAAGGATGTGCTACGAAACATGTCACAAATTATCAAACTCTAAGAAGTCCATTACCAAACTATTGTTGAAAAGGCGAAAACATATTTACAAACTACATTAGTTCAGTTGTGCAAAAATTGGATAGTTCATAAGGGTGGGCATGGTCAATCTAGAGAAACTTTTCTTTATACAATTGCAAAAGCGCTACATGCATATAGGTCGTTACAAAGCCAGTCTTTTTATTTTTTTTATAAGTAAAGAGAATCAACAAAACAAAGTCACTCTTGTCTAGGGATAATTTTTCATAAAGTGGCTACTCTCAAACTCCAACACACATCCTCATGCTTGTCAGCCTGAGTTTTATTGCTGCACTAATGAATGACCCAAGTGATATATGAAGAGATGGAAATATGTGTTTGCAAAATTATAAAAAAGAAAACAAAACCAAGGTTTTCCCCCCTTTTTATTCTTTGATTAAAAAATAACAATAATTAGAAAAAAACAGAACCAACTTTTCGCTTACATGTACCTAAAGACGTCCTGAGATAGTAATTGCAGTAACCAATGGTTACTCCATTATCATATGATGAATAATATTGCGAACATGAGAACCTTTTCAGATTATTGCAAAGGTTCAAGTTCATACAGAAGAATAACATGGCAGACATAGTACAAACTGAAAACAAAGTTCTCTAGAAAATGAACTCTGAGTTTCATGCTAAATCAAATGACATCACAATCGAACTACATGAAGAAAATTGAAATATGACTTTTTATAATTATGTAATTGGTGGTTAAAACGCATGCAAACTTACCATGCAAATGGTCCTCCAACGATCCCAATGGCATAAACTCATAAACAAGGAGGCGCTGGTCTCCATCGGCACAATAGCCAATTAAGTTAACGAGGTTTGGATGATGTAAGAGGCTAAGCATGAGAACCTCCACCAGAAATTCTCTATTTCCTTGAAGGCCATTTCGGTCCAGCTGTTTCACAGCAACTACCTGCAAACATAATTGACACATCCAACCAAAAGTCATTGAAGCGTGTATAATAGTCCTTGCTAATCCTATTCCACAAACAGAGTCAGAACGCAAAATGATATTGAACATAAACTAGCGTATAGATGACACTGGACCAAACAACTGAATTCAAAAATCTTTCAGTGGGTTTGCTTTAAATTGTAGTATTAGAAATCTTCATATCTATTTAATCACAACTTACTTGTCCTGTGCTCTCTAAGCGACCCTTGTACACACGTCCGAACCCACCTTCACCCAACTGGCTCTCTTGCCTAAAGTTCTTTGTGGCAGCAGCAAGTTCACGAAATGTGAATGTTTGTGCTGCAATATGTGGAGGTGGTCCATCTTTTTGAACTGCTGGTTCCTTCTTAGAATCAGAACCATTCCGAGATTTTGATTTTTCTATTGGAAAGAGAAAGGGAAAAGGAAAAGTGGCCAAGAAACAATGAAGAATCAGTCTGTATTCGCTGTATGCCAAATAAAACACACATTACAAATTATAATTCAGTATTATATGTGGCATAGAATGCAAAGCCACAAACATATACAAACTATTCTTTGGATTTCCTGTGCATGAAGATTTGTCTGAGCTTAATATTTTGAGAGCAAACTCAGTCATTTCTGAAACAACATTAGCATTGTTCATAACCATATGTTAACTTCCAATTAATATTTCATCTAATATTACATTCAAGCTGATCAGGTAATGAAAAAGTATTACATTTGCATCCATTAAGACATTTAAAAGTTTCCATTTCGTGTTACATTTCAGCAATGACTCAATGAAAGGAAAAGGGTTAACATTAGAAAGAAAAATGCAAGGAAATTTGTAAACTAAGAGCAGATCTCCATAGTACTTTCTATCAACACCACACCAGCTAAAAAAAAATCATACAGCGCAAACGATAATTGAATACACACAGTAAAAATTCACGGATAAGCTGTAATAGTAGAATCTAGACTACCCCATTTCAGGAAACAAACAAACGGGCAAAAATGAATCAGATCGAACTAACAAGAAAATTTAAGCAACAACCCATTATCAATAAACCTAAAAGAAAATATAGAAACATAAAATTCAACATAATTAAGCATAGCAAATGACAAACAACCAAAAAAAACACAAATTCCAAAGAATACCCATAAGAAAAAAATTCCAAGAAAGCATTTTTCACAGACAGAAAAAAAAGTACCTGAATTAACTCTGTTCACATGGTGAGAATGAGCAGCTGAACCTTCCTTTACAGGGTCATTCTTTGCCACTTCTTTCACACCGTTTCCTTCCTCGTTTGATGATCCAAAACATGGAAAACAACCCATATCAAATCCAAAACAACCAAACCCACAATAGCCCAAATAATATATATATCTCAACAATCACTGCTCATCATCTCATAACCCCCATCCCAAAAATCCCAACCAATCACTCTCTCTCACTCTACACTTTGTCTCTCTAGAATTCTCTCTGAGAAGTTTCCAGCCATCCGCCACTTATCAGTGACCCCAATTGGCTCAAGAACAAAGATCAACACCACCTTGTCCTAAAAAGCAGATCACCAAATCGAGGAAACTCTCAAAGGGTTGAAGAGAAGGTAAAGACACCAGGCAAAAAATATACATAAAATAATATACCGTATGTATATCTATATATATGAATGTGGAAATTATACAGAAAGTTGGGGGTAAAAGTAAAAATAAAAATTAATCCTTTTGTAGTAATTATTATGTTCAGAGCTAATTAGATTAATCAGTCAATAATCTTCTTGAAATCAACGAATTACCACTCAACTTATTGATATTAACTTCGATGTACAGATAAAAACTATGACAATTGGGTGAGAATAATAATCACGGTCGTAACGGGGTCCCACGTGTTCTTAAAACATGTTTTAAAACCATTGAGACCAAAAAGTAAAGAAAATAAAATAAAAACAAAATTAAAAAGGGATGTGCATAACACATTACGGTAGGAAATTTTGGGCTTACAATGATGTTATGATTGTGGACCGTTGATGAGGACTTGATATCAGGGAGTAGGTAAAAAGTTATGGCTTGTGACGTCATGGTCCTTGATCCAACGTCTCAGAGTACTAGTACCATTATATACTTTTTAAGTTTAGTCTAACAACAAAAACGTGCTATTTATGTGATTAATTTCTATTTTGATTGGGTCTTTTACGAAAGTCCAATTTTCTGGGCTTGGGATTACGGGCCCGGTGGTGTACCATGCCAAGGGAATGAGGTATCAGATGGCCCAACATGTTTGGGCAAAGGACAACATGAAATGAATTTTGGTACCAAATTTTAACTGTATAATTCACATTATCTGAGAAAAAAAAAAAAAAAAAAATTTCACATTAAATTCTCTTTCCAATGGTCCACGTATACAACACTAGAGGCAATTTTTAAAAGAAAGTGAGGCAACTCCAATAGTTTTTGGGTTTTCGGTCACCCTATGTTTACGTTCAACTATTTAAATTTCTTTTAATTCCAAATTTAAGTTGTTCATTAGATACTCACAAATAAAAAATATATGTTTTATAGCTTAGAATATAATTTTGATCATTGCCTTTTTTTGAATTTTAGAAAAAAAGTGAGACTAGCTGTTGATTTGTTGTTTAAAATGGTCTTTCTTTGAAGGAGATGTTCATGCTCTAGTCTTTTATGAGTGCAATGCAAGGGAAAAGTGAAGCTCCAGTTGAAATTCATACAATTTATATATTCAGAATTGGTTGCACCATTTAAAAGCATGTAGTTTTGCTTTTGTCAAAAGAAACACTAATGGAGCGCGTAAATTAGGAAAAACATGAACCGCGCGCTCCATTAGTGTTTCTTTTGACAAAATAAGGAGCCGAGATAAATCACAAATGTTATACTGTACTTAACGAATTTCAATATCACAAGTCTTCACACGTGCAAAGACTAGAATCCGTTGAATACGACCTATATTGTATAAGAGAGAATCCGAACTCCTCTAGAAAGAGCTTTTGTGTTTTAGAACCATTCTTCCTGTTTGTGCGGAAGTTGAAATAGATTGCAATGTTTTCTGCAATGAGCTTTTTGACCAAAGGTCGGAAACATATAATTACTGCACTTTTATTTTTAATATTAGTAGTCTTTACTTTATATTAGCCTTCGTTTTTTGACTAATGTCACCAGCCCTTTTTACATTCCTATTAGTGCTCTTTCATGTTTTATATTCAGAATTGGTTGCAGTATTTGGAAGCTTCTAGTTTTGCTTTTGTCAATAGAAATACTGGCTAAAAGTTATTCTTTCACGCTCCCAAAAACATGAAATGAGTTGCTTTTCAAAGTCAAAATAAATAAAATATAATAGTATATAATTTTGAAATACTTTCGGTTTTGGACTTTGGTATACAAATAAGTAAAGGTTTATTTGATACGCATTTTACTCTTCTTTTTTTTTTTTTTTTTCTGGTAACAATAGGTTTATTTGGTACCCATTTTACTTTTATTTTATTTTTTTCTGGTAACAATGAACAGTAAAAAATGTTTTTGATAAAAATTATTTTATTTTGTACATAGTTTTAAAACGTTTTGTGAATAGTGATAAAAAAATTTAAAACATTTTATAATAAAGCACTTATTTTATTTCTTGTTAAAACAAAACAGTCGAACCAAAACGTAATGTAAACCAAAATTGTTTTATTTTGTACGGCATCCAAACGTTTGGTGAAAACAACGGATCAGCCATATATTTTTCAACTAAGTACAACAATAGTCTTCTCCTTCGTTCTTGACAAATGCCGCCAGCAGTTTCATGTGCTTGGACTTTGGGCCGCGTATAATAGGCTTTGATGGCCTGTAGTTTACAATAGTCGCTTCCCCAAACGTATGCTTGATTTACGCGCCCAAGTGGTGGTTCCATTGACTACCGTCCCCCTTGCCGTTTAACATACACGTGGCAGATCCTGATGGCTTTTCATATTTGAAATAAAGAAATAAAAATAAAAAAATTCAATAGTTTTGTCTTGGGATGTAAATTTGTACAGCCCCTAATGGAACTTGTATGTGAATCATTTATATACGGTAAAGGAGGATATGGTTTTAGATTTTCAACTCTTGGTGAGTTTTGGGTTGGGTATTAATTTTGAGAAACATCAATCTTGCCCCTCTTTATATTTTATTTTTTAAATATATATATATATGTGTGTGTGTGTTATAGATGTATGTACATTATTGTGTTCATGTATTTACTATATATATCATTATTTACATTATATAGAATTTATAGTTTTATTAATTTATTTATATAAATTAAAAATAAAAAATAAAAATGTAAATGCGCGGGATGGGCACGGATATACTCATATCTTAATGGGTGTAAGCATAAATTGTGAAATTAAAACCCGATGCGGGTATGAATTTGTCTATAATTAAATGGAATGGATACGAATTTAGGTAAACTCGTTCCATATCCGCTCTATTGCTATTTCTAATTTTGTCCTTATGTGATTCATTATTTTAAGATAAGGTCTGACTTTGATATCAATAGTTATATTTATACCAAAAAAAAGAAAACCCGTATTTGCTCTAGTCAAACATGATTTATTTTTTTGGTGTAAATATTAAACAATAGTCATAATGAGGGTGTTGTATGATTAAATCAAGGATTAGGTCTGAATCTGATACCAATAGTCATAAATTATATATTTGCTTCCTAATTAAAAAACTGAAGTTAATAAATAGTACTGCTGCATACCCATTCATACATATCTTATTCATTTTTTATTCAGATCTAGCCCCCTAACATGTACCATAACACTGCTAAAAAATAATTTCCTCTGTTTACAAATTCAGTGACCGAGAAGGAATTTAAATTAAAAAATGAAAAGAAAAGAAATATGAAAAGGTAAAATGGTCTTATCAGCAAATTGGTTTTGAGGCCCAATCCACTAGAATATGTGTACACTTATTGCTTCGATCATATACACGTACACATATTGCTTTGTATTGATAATCGATCGGACACTAATAAAAAAAAAAGAAAAGAAAAAAGAAAGTGGAATATTCTAAAATGGTGGCCAGGTTCTCCCTAGTTTTCGCTATCTTAATTCCTATTCATTTTATATTCTCCATACTCAATTAAGGAAATATTGCAATCTATCAGAAAGGGGATAGCTTTCGGTGGGATGCGATACTCTTTGTTTGCTCTTTAATATTTCACTTCTCATATATATATATATATAATATGTCTGAGTTATCAAAAATCAATTCCAAAATATATTTAATGAAAGCATGCCATCTTTAATTTGTTTACATACATAACCAAATACATCGGACTGTTTCTCTGTGCCTTATTAACCTTATTTATTATATACTACTATCAAGGAATATAAACTATAGACCACAGTAACTTCTTCTTCTTCTTCTTCTTCTTTTTTTCTTTGTTTTTCTTTTCCCGATAAGTATAGTCTTTAACCCTTAATATAGCACAATATATATATAGAGAGAGAACTTTTTTTGAAGAAGCTATTTAAAGGCTGAATTTAAACGAGTGAAGTAGAGATGTACGTCAGCTGTATATAAAGAATTAATGCATACAACAAAAAGCTGGCATCAATTGCCGGTGTTAATTTATAGGTTTTGTTTATTTAGACGTAAAATATATATTTTTTACAAGTTTTTTATTTTTTTTTAGGCAAAACATTTTTTTTTATTAATTTTAAATTTTCGGTGTTTAATAAATGTTTAGGTTGAGGTTGAGTCCACCGAGTAGTGCGTGTAAAATAGTTTGTCAAAAATTAATAAATAAATTGTTTTTGTTAGGTTTTAATATATATTTTTTTTTCATAAATATTTTACGACAACCAAACACAAAAAAATATTTTATACGTAAACAAATGGAGACTACGTCTCTCCAGAAAGATACTGTAACGTAACTTAGTGTGGCCTAACTTGGGCTATAGCCCAGGTCCAAAAAAAATATAAATTTTTTTGTATTACTACTTCCTATCAATCATAGTCCAACCCAATCAGTCGTAACCCAGTCCATGTCCAATCCATAATAAAACAAAAATAGCAAATGACTCAGCCCAACAAAAAGCAACTTTCTGAATAAAAGAATGAAGTCTCACTTATTTTGTAAGAAAATATTCATCCATTCAAATAGCTCTTTTAGTGTAACCAAAGTTACAAGCCCATCACTTATTTTATTATTATTATTATTATTTTATTTTACTATTTTTGAATATATATAACCTATCTGTCATAAAAATTATTGTATTCGATCTTTAAATTTTTATATCTTTAACCCCCTTACTTTGCAATCCTAGCTCCGCCCTGACTGTAACCAAGTGCAATTGTCATTGTTTTTAAACCACAAGTACATAACCAGAGCCATATGTAAGGATATATAGCAGGTAAACTGAGAATTTAAAATTAACACAGTTAATTTTCATGCCCTCTTACTGATTACACATGTATCTAAAGCTGTGATGAATGGAATATATTAACTTTAGTACTTTACGTACAAGGGTCCTATTTGCTGCCACATTATATATGTGTGTGTGTAAGAATTGAGATGCCGGGCATAAGAGAGGGAATTAAATTAGTGTAATGATGTCTAGAATCATTTATAGTGGCATGCAAAAGATATATGCCATATATGATCGAGCTAGCCATACAATTGAAAACCAAAATTTAATGGAAATGGTGGAGTTTTGGCATAGGAATAAATGTACCAAATGAAGTATATGATGATTTGAAATGTCAAGCATACGGTTTAATTATATATATCTCTAAAATTCCAAACCACTCTAATAATTAAGCCCTAAAGAACAACACTAAGAAAATATTTTTATCAATTGTTATAGAAGAATATATTCATTTATGGAAATGACAATGGACTATATATATTCATCGAAATGACATTTTAATATATTCCATTAATTTTCTTAATATTCCCCGCAGCAAGAAAATACACAAATTTTTTTTTTACAAAACATATGCTATATTAACAAAAGGTGAAAAGCCATTTGTTAATCTAGATATAGCATTAAAACTACTACACTTTGTAAGTTTGACCACCTCTATATATTGAGCATTTACATACTCATTGAAGCCTCCAGTACATATATACTTAATTAGGTAATTAAGAAGAAGATTAGTGTTTGGTTGACCTTATTAAAAACATAGTAGTAGTACTAGGGCTCAAATTTGTTACGTACTAAAGCCATAAAGCTCCAGCCTCTATGAGCTGCTTCTTGAGCTCGCCGCTTAGTTGAAGGGTGAGGACGGTGTCAGCAGAGCCCACAAACTTACCCCCGATGAACACAGCCGGTACCGAAGGGTTGCACCCCAGCCTCTTGAGTGCCCACTCCATTTCCCTCCCTCTTGGCTCTTCGTCGAGCTCATGAATGATAGGGCTCACGCCTTGACCGTAAAACAGTCTCTTGATGGCATGGCACATGCTGCATGAACTCTTACTGAAGATCACCACAGCCGCCTTCGACGCCAATTTCACTACCTGATCCATCTATCCCAAGAAATATTGTCTCCTTTAATTAAAAATGTAGAAGACAAATATTGCAATACAAGTTAACCTAGCTAAGATATATATGTGTGTGTGTGTATAAAATGCAGTTGATGAGTATAGGAAATAGTAGTAGAGCAAATGGTAGCTAGTTATGATCAAGTGTGTGTGTTTTAGAAGTAGGAGTAGGTTTGTGATGATAATATTGAACTGGAATGAGCTTATATATAGAGAAATTGAGAGGCAAGTGAAGGTGGTGGGATTGAGTATTTGAATTGTTTAATGCAATTAAAGGAAGAAAAGAGATCGATGAAAAAGTGAAATTCCTTTAGATAGATATTTGGATATAAGATGCTAAATGTATGTAACCCCTTCAAGTGATAGTGATTTGTGTGGCATAATATTACATATATACTATTTATATATAGTTGTGTTCAGAATCTAAGAGACTATACAGATAACGAAAATGATGCTCAGATTCATGAAAATTAAAGTTAAAAAATAATAATTGTAAAAATAGCAACATGGTACGGTGCATTTCTTTTCGTGGTCGGAGGACATTTGTTTACGTGTAATTATATGATTAGATGAGGGAGGGTGTTGCTGGCTAGGGTGGTGAGGAATGTCAACTTTAGATATATATTGGATGATGAGATCGATATTATTTGAAGTTCCTAGATTGATATATGTAGATGCATGTAGACACGTAGATATGAATATTTGTGTGTGTCACAATTTGATGTGGAATAGTACTGGTTCAAGCATATATGGTATAAATTTCATTTTGAAGTCAGCTAAAAGTGGATTGCGATGGATGCATACCAGAGCTTGATCTTGAATCTAATTGAGGTTAAATTGGTGGTGGAAAAAGTGACATGTAATGTAAGTATCAAAACTTTATGGAGATGGGAATAATTAGTATCAAATCATTGAAACAACTGGATGATATATATATATATATATATATATATATATATATATATATAGTATCAAAACTTTATGGAGATGGGAATAATTAGTATCAAATCATTGAAACAACTGGATGATATATATATATATATATATATTAGTCTGGGCAAACGAATTGACAGAATTATGTAAACTCTGATCAAAGCAGAAATATTGATATATATTTGGCACTTTAAAGCTAAAATTAGGACCAAAAAAAATATCATTCAGTATTATTGAATTAAAAACAATGTGTGACATCGGGTTGGGGAGAAGTTCACAATACTTATTTTTGTAGACAACTCTTAATCTCATATCCTTATATTTTTGTCATTTTAACTGTATCAACTGTGTGTTTTTTTTTTTAATAGACCTTAACACTCGAATTTTTTCTTTAAGAAAGAGAGTTTGTAGCATGTAATTTAGAGCCTATTGATAATAGGAAGAAGTATTCCTCCTCTAAAAATATCAACTTTTTTTTTTTTTTTTTGGATGGTAAAAATATCAAATATTCCTAAAAGGTATTGTAAGTTGGCTTAATTTTATTTGTTAATTTATTTGTAATTGTAAGGAAGCTTACGAACAGTTAATGCCAAATATTCGCTTTTCTAGAAACCTCAGTTGGTAGATAAACATGGATATATGAAGGATCTGGCACAATTCCAAGTCGGTTGTCTAGATATTAAGCAATATATATATATATATATATATATATATATATATATATATATATCAACCCTCACTCAGAGTCAGCGAGCTAGATTAAGGAGGATTATCCATTAATAGATCATACCAACATGGGGAATCAAACAAATTGCATGCATTAATTGATCTTTGATAAGATTTTGGCAGAACATAAAATCTAATGATTTATGTATGATCGAACCTGTGAAAATTAGTTTGTGGCTGGTTGAATGGATCGTATATATATTTTATATATCCACTTGCTAATTAATTTTTGTTCCATAATTAAAATGTCTCACAATATTGACTTAGCTACAAGAATTTTTCTTTTCCTTTAATTTGGGGTTTGGATTGATTGCTATTCCTTGTCTTTCGTATCTAGAAAAGCAGTAAAGGTACATGAAACACGTAATATGTTCCTCAGCTGATGGCTGTTCTGTACTTTTTCAAGATGGAATAAAGAGAGCAATTTGTATATTTACAATATTCCTGCATCATATCACCAAAACACTAATGTCTGTGATGCCACAAACCGCCCTCTCCATCGCCTTGGATCTTCTTAACCTAGTTGACATTCCAAGTATGTTTTATAAAACAATTAATCTTATCTTCTCTGAAGTACGTGAATCAAACGCACGCAATCTTACCTCCATATAGAGAGATATATTATTTCCGATTTTAAACCAGTGACATACCGATCACATTAGAGCAATCTTGAACCCTTATCCCCTACTTCCTCCCGTATGCATGCTAATGTGCATATATATTAGCATGTATTATTATTTATGTTGAATGATCCTGGGGTATGTATTAGATATTATTAATATATATATATTTGTAGTATAATTTGTAAATAACTCATATTATTATCATAAATGATGCTTGTTCTATATTTTATATCCTTTTGTATTCATAATTAATAATGCATCCATATATACTCACCCAATGAAAATAAAAATGTTGGGCTTATCCATGGTTGATGTGTATGTGCATGTGCATGGAATGGATAGAAATATTCGAAAGAGATGAGTGATACATTGATAAGTACGACAGCCAAGTTACAACAATCTGGCCATTTGCTTTGCGATGAGAGTCGACAGTTATGGGCACTGGTTTGACATACTTTAGGCCATTGACATATACATATATATATATATATAATACGAACAAGACCTTATCGAATTGCTGACAAAAAACTCGAGAAAAGTGAAGTATCTATAATCTTTTGAACTCATGAGACCTCTCTAGAGAGATGATGTGACTTCAAGTATTCCAAAATTATGATAAGGATAAGAAAATCAATCATATGGCATCTTCTACTAAAATTTTGCATTGAACCACATTTAATAATTTGGCTTAGTTAGTGGGAAATTTTTGTAAGGCAAAGTTTCAGCTTCTAAAGTTCACCGTCCAAGAGACAGTATAATCATACGAAAGAGTAACAACAGCTTATTAGACTAAATTTATGTAAATTGGAAATGATATCACGAGACGGTATTATATTTAATGATATCATTTTTCACTCACATAAATCAGTCGGATATATCCGACTTTCGAACTAGCTACTCGTCATTATTTCATGCGGAATTAGAATTTCACTCTTAATTGATTGCTCATTTATGTTGTAACATCTAATGATAACAGTCAATTTTTACTTTTTATTATTAGCGTGATACATTAAATGCACTAACAGATATAAGAAAAGACAATATTAGTTCGTGTGCAACAATAATTTTAGTTAAGCTCTTAATAGCTGGGCAATGCAGGATTTTGTTTGTATAAGTACATTTATACTTGTTAATAAAAGGGTATTTTGATATATATATGAAACTCGAAATTTACATAATATAATATGTAAATTAAAGCTACCAAAAAGCAGAGAAGATAATGGTGGGGGACTCATGGGATATGTACATGTATCCCTTCTCTATACGGCCATTTCTTCTTGTATGGGGCGTGTACACGACGAGGCCACATAATGTTTAGCTTTTTAATATATAGAAAAAAGTATGTTCTGCAAGACAAGTATGTGTTAGAAGTGTTGGAAACGGCATTAGAAAACGCAAACTTTGAAAGGATTTTTAAAAGATTCCGCTAAGAATTTTTTGCGAATCTATTGATGAGCGCGTTCCTCTCTGCGAGGAGATGAACGTGGTATATTTATTTTCTCAAATCCGTTTCCGGGTGAATGAGAAATTGGCTCCAAAGTAAGTGATTTATAAAGCCTAAATGGGTGTGAATAAAGTGGGAAATGCTTGTCCCACATCGAAAAAGTAACAAAGCAACCTTGAGTATATATATGTCTAGTATGGGATTTGGGTTTGGGCCCAAGGGCACCCAAGTTTTTAAGAGAGGGAGGACCTAGGCTAGCTTGGATCCAAACCAACTACCACACGCGCGCCCGGTCCGGGGCAGGGCTTAATTGTAAAATGGGTCTAACCTTTTTACACAAAGTTGGACTGGGCCTGTGTGGTTATTTTATTTACTGGACTTATTTAAGTGGGCTTGTGGGTGGAGCACGCTGGGCTGGGCTGCCGAAGTTTGCTTGCTGGGCTTAATCTGTTTTGGGTTTAAATTCAAATCAAAAACCATAAAACAGTTTTTGTTTGAACCAAGGGTTGCACCCTTTACAAATTAAAAACCACCAACAGATTTTTAATTTTGATTGGTCAACAATGGTTGCACCCATTCGGACTATGGGTGCACCCATTCAGAATAGGGACCAACAAGCCTATAAATACCCATCATTGGGTTCATTTCAATTCACACCAATTCAGAAATCTTCTTCTCTTCTTCTGAATTTCTTCTTCTAATTCTTCTTTGTTCGGTTCAGCCACTGGTTTGGGTTCAACCTAAACTGGTTTGGATTAGGTTCGAACCTTGGTTTCCAAGTTTGGGTTCAATCTTGGTCTCCGAGTTAGGGTTCAATCCTGGTCTCCGAGTCTGAGTTCAACAGAGAGTACTGCACCGAGCCGGTTCGCCTATTCCATTGGTTTGAAGTGCTACTACCAAAGGAAGAAAAGTCGTTGTATCCTGGGAGATAGATGCCGAAGAGTCCGTTAGCACCGTAGCGGGGCGTATCTGTCTTAAGGCTATAGAATTAAATTCTAGCCTCGACTTTATCAGGTTCTTTTATAGTTTTATTTTCTTGATATTAAACTATATAAATATATATATAGATTATTATAATAAATATTATATTTACAAATAATATTTAAATAAATTATATTATAGTATATGATACATTATTTTATCAACAATCTTAAGACAGATACTTTATACTATAGTAATAATTATTTAATTATTATTGTTGTTATAATTATAATTTGACTCGTGGTCTGTATATCAATATATAACAGACAAATGACAAGTACGAGTATTACCGTGCCTAATGTTCCCGTCAGTCATGGGGAGAAGCCCGAAAAATTCAACGGGACGGAGTTTAAAAGGTGGCAACAGAAAATGATGTTCTACCTTATAACTCTGAATCTAAGCAAGTATCTGACTGAGACTGCTCCAGTGTTAGATTAGGGTGATACAGACATTACCAAGCTTGGAGCTGTTGATACATGGAAGCATGGAGACTTTCTATGCAAGAACTACATCCTCAATGGGTTGGACAACACC